GCGTTTCTTCGGGCCAGCAGCTCGCTCCTGTCCAGGCAGTGGGAGAGGCCACCTCCTTCCTAACTTTATTTCCAGCCCGTTCCCTGCAGATGAATGTGGCGGGCCTCCCGGCTCCCACGGCAGAGGACGGTCTGGGAGAGGGCAGGCAGCCCGCGCAGGCCGGGAGAACTGTTTGCGGTAACTCTATTTTTAATATACATCGCTGACCCTAATGATAGTCTACTGAGATGAGGGCAAGAAATGTCTGATCAAGTGGAGATTAATTTTTGACTGTGTCGCCCGGAATGCATGAAAATGCACTCCTTTTTCTATTTAGACTCCCAGGATGCTTTGATTGATTGACTAGTTTACAAATGAAGGTGATAAAATTAGGTTGAAGACCACATACATTTCTTAAAATGAGGCTGGCTGGTCGTGAAGACAATGAGGTTTGGACAGATTGTATTGCTGGTTTAGGCAATCTGTGGGCATGTCAAGATTTATAGACCTGTACCGGAATGTTACAATTGCAGCTCACTGATATAGGTTTCTTTTCAAATTCTTTCCCATTTTATTTGAAAAAGGCCATTAGAGAGTTATAGACTATTGAAAAGGCTTTTTCTTTGCTAACACTTAATAAACTCTTCCAAACAAGGAATACTGCATTTTTATATTAAATTTAGACCAAAATCTATAAAACGTGATCCTGGGTTGGATAATTTGATTATTATTATCTAAATGGAGTGATGTTCATACTGGTTTGCAGTAATGTACACAGTAAATAGAATGTAAGTTCAGATTTGTATAAGACCACGGGATGCTGGATCTCCTTGTTGTTGTTTGTTCTGTGAGCCTTTCTTTGGGGAATTTCAGCCAATTTTCCCTGAGGTGAAAATTTTTTTAAAAAAGAGAGGCCCCAGAGATGAAATTAATACCGCGTTGTACTAAAAACAAATTGCTGTGAATATTTACATGTTCTCCTCATCACAGAAGAAAGCTGCAAATGTCTTAGGAGTTATCCAACTAATAAGATTTACCAAGGGGGCCCAAAAAGCATGAGAAAATATTCGGCAGAATTAGAGACAATTATCCCATTGTAAGTTATGATGTGAGGAATAATAGATGAAATTCTGGAGTTATTTATGAATAAGTCAATTCTGTTTCATACATTTTTTGCCATCAAAATAACTTATGAAATCATTTTCCAGGCCCATGGCGTTTAATGAGACTTCTGTATTCAGTTAAAGATTTTCTTCCAGGGCTTTTGCAGCCACTCAGAATTCTTGGTGGTGCCCAGATTTTGACCTAAGTCAGTTTTCCAACTCTGAAGTCAACCAGCCCATGGTCCAGAATCCTGCTGCAGATCTCGGCCTGCTGCCTGGTGCTGGGAGAGGTGGCCAAGTTTTAGGGGCTCAGTGGGGGGCTCAGAGAAGGGGTCCCATGCGGTGGTGTGGTTGGAACGCTTGGCACAGCACCTGGCACGCAGTAGGTGCTTGGAGGGTGCAGCCATCACTGTCACCGCCCATGCCAGCTCCGCATGTCCCTGCTGCAGAGCGGACGACCCAGGCTACAGCTGGCCCAGGCTGCATGTCCTTGGGAATGTCCCTTCTGAGCGCTGCTCCTCTGTCCCTGGTGCCTGGCTCCTTCTAGGGCCTCTTCCTTGGGGTAGAGGAGGCAGCGGGTTCTGGCACTGTACAAATGTCAGTAGTCACTTTTGATTGTGTCCAGCACCTGTTCTCTGGCCTTTAAACCGTGGAAAGTGGCCGATGGGAACCGTGGGAAGTGGGCACCTCCTGTACCTGAGGGCAATTATGGGGTCTTACTTGAGGGGACTGGGGGTCAGGGGGTTGGACGAAGTGGTCCAGAGCATAGGCCGTGAGGTTGATAGTCTGGGAGCGGGTGAACTTTGAAATCCAGAGCAGCACTCCTGCAGAAGGTTGTCAATATTTCTCAGTGATTTACACAGAAAAGTCTGGAACTGTGCCAGGTTCATCTCATGCTGTCCGTGCCAGGAGTAAATGTGCTGATGGAAGGCATTGTGTCCAGGGACCAGGGGCCCTGGAGGCTCAGGAGGAGCGGCAGGTGGCGACCGCCCAGCAGGTGCTGGTGGTGCCTGGCTTCCTGTGTCTCTCAAGAACCGCATGGGGAATTTGTGGACCAGGCCCTCACAGTGAGCCTGGCCTGCAGTACTGGATCAGGCTGGCACATGGATGTTCCCTGGATCTGCAGCCTGGGAGAAGCCACACCCTGTCACCTGTGCTTACACCTCCTCTGCAGCTCATTTGGGACCAAAGGATGGAGTGCTGTTTCTCAAACAGAGCCGCACAGCAATGTGCTGAGCATTCAAGGGCAGTGGCGGCCTCTCAGGGACACTGTGCTATATAATTACCTGGTCTTTCATGGGGAGGGGAACCACTGTCCCTGGTGTCTGAGGGGGTGGTGTTGCAGACCCCGAGGACACCGTGCCCCTACCACTCAGCAAAGTGGTGCAGCGTTAATGCAGCCCACGCATGCCTGCTCACCTCAGCTTATACCTTCTCTATGTTACCTGCGGCCCGCACAGTGGAAATGCCTGACACCTGCTACTGTGTGGCTCGGGGAAGAAGCACATGGAAAGAGTCTGGGTGTATTCCACACAGACATAGCTTTTTCTTTCTTAATCAAATATTTGACCTAAGGGTGGCTGACTTCACAGAGGTTCAAGCTGTAGAGAAGTAGGAAGGGTGGACAGTATTTTTGTCTCTTCAGCCATTCAGAGTCAGAGATGGGACCCAGGGTGCTAGGTCAGTGTCCACAGAGCAGCAACCCACCCTGGATCTTCTGGAAGTCTTTGCATGTTGAACGGAAGGACAAAAAGCCCTGTGGAAGAGGTTGCCTGCACTGTCACTGGGCGGGCATGGGCAAATCAGGAAGGTCAGAGTGAGAGGTGGCTAGGCCTCCCCGGCTGCGGACCTGAGGGTAAAGGGCTCCCACCAGAGGATCCACAGATGGACACTTGGAGGGCTTCTCAGGACACAGGGATGCCTGGAGTTACAGTGACACAAGACAGGCGTCCCACCGTGGCCTGACATCATTAGCCTATGGGTAACCTTTCCAAATGTTTGCCAGGAAGAAAAGGAATCTTAACAACACAGGTATTTAAAGGTTTGGGTAAGTGTGCAACACAGTGATTTTTCAATCTTGGAGCTGACCAATCCTGGGGCCTGTGAGTCCACAAGTGTCTGCCATCGTTCTCGGGGTGTCAGAGGAAATCGAGTGACGGATCACTTCTCTGTGTCACTGCTTGGGACCGGTGACAATCAGTGAAATGATTGTGTCTGCCTCTACACATATCTGTAATTGATTGCCCAAACCCTACGACTCTTTCCTAGCTGATATGATGGAGCATTGGAAGGAAATCACTCTCAATGAGGAGGAGCTAGGTCCATTTGTTATTTACTGCCCTGCCCGCTTCCTGGTCCCCATTCAGCGCTGAGTGTCCCCCAAGAGCACATTATGGTAATCAGCCAGATGTATGTATAGGAATCAATCAAGGTGAGCCGGCGCAAGAGTTATGACACTGCAAAGTCTGTTTGTAACTTTTGATTTATGGAAGATTTTCCATTTTATAAATTGGGAGTGGGGCATGTTGGGATGGCTTAACCCTTGGCTTCCCCCAAAGGAAAGTGGATTGGGCATCAGGGCAGTGGGCAGAGCACTGTAATTGCCCAGTGTCCCTGGATAACCCGAGCACTTGCAGGCTTGGCTTGTGGCTCTTAGAAGCTCCTCCACTCTCTGAAGACCTTTCCTGTCCTTGCGAAACAGAACCGGCTCAATCTTCTGGACGGTGAAGATGCAATATGTTACCTTTGGGACGGATCCCTACACAGTGCCTCCCTGGACTCCAGAAGCACATGCCATGGCGGTGTTCCCAGGACTGTCCCTACTTGCTGTCACTCTCAGCGAAAGGAGTTCCCAGGGTCGACTCCTGGCTACAGGCCCTGGACACGGCAGGCTGCTCCCCTCTGTTCTTATAAAACCGCAGAGGCCAGGGCAATGTTGGCCCTGAGCCACTTCTCCGAGATGGACAGAGCTGAGCGTAGCATCTCTTCCGTTGACAGCCACTTGTCATGCTCAGCCTTACCACCCCTAGCGCTGGAGGAGGCAGGACAGGCATGGCCTATTATAGTCCCTTTGTCAGCTGACCCCATTAAAATATTGGCCTTTAATGTACATCTCTCACATCCAACCTGCCAACCATCTCATAGAGTGTCATGCTGATGTGGATGGTTCCATTTTGCAGATGTGGAAATAGAAACAAAAACTTGAAATTCTTTGTCCAAGAACATTCCAGAACATTCTACTAGTTACCATGCACACAGGGCTGGGGCTGGGCCTCCTGACTGCTGGCTCAGGACTTTTCTTTCCCTGAATTTCACTGGGATCCAGGTGCCCACCCTCTGTAGGGCACAGTACTAGTACTTGTTTTTGGAAACCGGGTCTCACTGTGTAGCCCACCGCCTTCCTGGGTTTACAAACACGTGCCCACCATGCTGGTGTTGCCCCCATTTCTGAAGGCTCCCCAACCCTTCCAGCTGCCAGCTGTGAGTTGCTGTGTGGCTCACAGCTTCTGTCCCCACAGACCCCTTTCTGCCCATCTGTGTATGGCATTCATGGTGAGACATGCTTCTTCAGGGACAGCAACTCCGGGAGGGAAAAGATCTGTCCCATCCCAAGGTCACTGCGTCTGCTCTTTGCTTGGCAACCTGACCACATCATCATGTGTGGAACTAAAGTTCTGTTTCTTTTTTATTGGCATGGCAGACCTATTGTGCTTTAGCTCCTTTCTCTACCTAATGTGACTCTTATACTAAGAACACAGATCCCTGCAGACCTGCTCTCTGTCTTCTAATCCATTAGCAGCGTGAGATCGCTGTCTCTGGAAAACTTAAGAAACCATTTAAAAACAAAAAGATGAATAAATGAAAATGTTATGAGCCTGGAAATGTTAATTAAGTCATTCTCAAGGAAGAGGCTTTCCAGCCCAGATTAAAACACACCATCACTTTCCAACAGTTAGCAGCTTTCTCCTTGAAAGAAGTCCAAATTAAGGACAAAATCATTATCAAAAGAAATAGTAAAGGGACCAGGAAGTGGGGCTGAGTCTGGCTCTCGGCTACTCCTCTCACTGGCGCAAACATGAAGGCTGAAGTCATAAAGCGAGGTCTATTTCCAGACTCCACAGTCCCTGCCAAGTGCCAGTCTGCGCCTTGACACAGATTCATGGGGGTGGAGAGGCACAGATCACCTGCTCTGCTTCAGACTCAGAGTCGAGACCTGAGAAGCGAGGCACTTCTTGAAGTCATTTAACAGAGCCTAGGACAGAACCTAAAAGTTCAGACCCACACTCCAATGCTCTTTCAACTGCATACAGAACCAAACAAAATAATCCCAAAGTAAGAGTGATGCTATCTTTTTGAAGTGTGCTGTGTCAAAACCCCCTTACCTGGAGATACTGCTCTTCGGTTGTTTTCCTTTCAGTAGTGGGCCGAGCAGAGCCTCTCTTGTCAGGATTTTATTCCACTGTCTTAGCCCTCAGAAACCTGGGCAGGAGCTGCTGGAACACAGAGGCAGAAAGGCTGTGTCCCAAAGGCCAGGCCCTGACTGGACTCATGGCCCCAGCGGCTCGCTGGTGTGTCTGGGACACAGACATATAGAAAATTACATTGTAAGAAGGTGATATTAAGCTCTGTGGGATTAATTTTTGCCTGGAAAAGAAAATAAGTAAAAATCCCAATCTTAATATAGTTTCTGGAAACGAAGTATTAAAATGCTTAGCTTTTGTTTTCTGTTAAGGAAAACAGGCATGTGTGGAAATTTAAGTCAGACAAATACCAAGGAAGCACAAGGGACAGATGGATTTGACTGGTGGGCCAGAACAATGGAAGAGAACCTGACATACTTCCCGGAAGATAGGACATTTTGGGGGGACCTCCACAAGCCAGTCCTTTATTCTGTATTATTCAGCCATTGCTGTGATAATGTGGTGTAACAAACAACTCCAAAATGTTAGTGTCTTACAACAGCAGATGCTTATTTCTTGTCTATGTGGCTGCATTAAGCTGCAGGCTGGGTCCAGGCCAACTCCACGAATCTCTCATTCTGGGGCCTGGGCTGGAGCAGCCACAGCCACCCATTTGAATGCCAGCTCTTCTAACACGAAGGGCAGGAGGAACGGGAAGAGGCCCACAATCCCAGGAACAGGCCATGCCTCTGCAAGCACCCGTTTAGAAGTCTCTCCTGCCTACATTCCATTGGCTAGAGCAAGTCACACGGCCAAGTGCAAGGTCAATGGGGCAGGGGACAGATGGCAGCCAGGGGCATGACAGTGAGAGAAGGAGAAGTCGGGAACCAGTAACACAACCTACCACATTTTCTTCCTGGCCCTGGGTTCTATCCATTCAATAAGGGGATACGATCCTGGAAGGTAAACCGACAAAACCCCAAACGATCCAAACCCCAAGCTTCCCCCCACCCCACCCTGTGGTGGAAGGCAGCTGTGTTGGCAGAGGTAGCAGACGACAGCAGCAGCTCCTCACAGGCTGGGTCTTCCAACGGGCACAGATGTCACTGCAAGCCCCACAGGACGGGGCACAGCATCTGAGAGGGGGGCACTTACAGCGCTGTCCCACAGCCAGCCCTGCTTGGAGTGGGATGAAGCCGACATGGTGCTGCTTTGAGCACTGGGCCCTCTGCTCCCTGAGGGTCCTGGGGATGCACAGCTGAGTCAGGGAGGCCGCTGCCAGCAAACGGTCTGTGCACAGTCTGATAAAATATTACCTCCTATATTTGCATGAGTTTAACTTAGCTTTCTTAGTTTAAGTATTTTTTAATTTTTTTACACATTCTGTGATAAGCACGTTTATTTGGCAACAAAATGTATAGCGATGTCAGAGAGCAGACAAAGGCACAACACGCATGTGAGTGACAGGTGCTAACTTCCGGAGCAGCCTGGAAATGCGCCATTCTTTGAGTCCAACATTTGGACTTCTGCTCCCTATGCCAGGACATTCCAGAGTGGACCCGGGAGTAGTACCTAGTAAATGGAGCTTCAGTCGGAGTCTGTGTTCATGTAGGGGAAAATAAAGATTAGGCCCCACGTGAAAGTCCTTGGCGTTTGCTTTGGTTTTTGAGCACTTAACCATCAGCTTGTTGGCATCTTTATGATGCAGCCTGGGCCAGGCTCTCCCTAGTCCACGATGCTAGGTTGGGTGAGCTGCCCGAATCTACTGCAGTGTGCTGAATGCATGACTCAAGCTTCTAGAAACCACACCCCACAGGGAGAGTGAAGCTGGTTCTGACCCTGTGCGTGGGAAGGCGCCCATGTCCTGCTGTGATAATGCATGACTTGTGAAGTCCAGTGGTAGATTTTACTCCAACACAGGACTGCTGATGTGCTGGTTAGTACTGCTCTGTGTTGGTCAGCGGCGGCATTGTGAGACAGTGCAGGTCCCTGGGACACATGGATTGCGCTGACATCAGGGCTGACAGAGTTTAGACTCCCTGCTCACTGGTCGCTGTCAGTGGTCAGCAGGAGCTCAAAGCCCCTGCTTCTCCATCCTCCTGGGCACAGCTGTGCCTGCTTCCTATGGGCAGAGGGACAGTGAATCTGGAGGGAAATGGGTAGCCACTCCAGTCCACTGCTCACCCCGATCACTATTCCTGGTGGCCCTCGATGCTGGGGGAGCAGGACACAGATTTTGGGCAAGCAGCCTGCAGTCTGCTCCCTGAACCATGCTGAGGGCCTGTCAGCAGGGACCCTAGCTTAACGTCTTTACAGATGCCCACCATCCAGGGCCACATGTGCCAGCTCCAGCAATGACCAGGCCAGCAGGGAGCACAGCACACTGTGCCTGGGTTGTATTGGCTCCAGAGAGGGCCATGGAAAGCCACTGAGAGCCAGATGGGTGCTGGTGCACACACAGCTCACTGGAGGCAGTGAGAGGAAACCCTTTCCACCCTCAGGGCCATGGGCGCAGATAGCGGGAGCCGGGTGGCAGACACAGCCACGGGCTCCATGCTGTGGGCTTGGAGCTGCCTGCCCAGCCTTGAGTTCCAGCTGGACCCCTGTCGATGTCACCTGTGACTTGGACAGTTTCCCACCTTCGTTTCTTGTTTAAAACAGGAATTACAACTCCTAATATGGCAAAATTCACTCCCAGAAGACAATTCCCTGGTCTACACCTTGGATCTTTTGCACACTAACTTCATGATGCCAGGAATTTCACTGAACTGTTCTGGGTTTTAGTCGCCTTGGTATGGGTTATGGTGCAGGGGATGAAATATGAAAATACTGTATCTCCCAACCTGTTAGCTGTCTGATACGCCGAGCTTGTGTTCTCTAAAAATCAAAGAGTGAATTCTAGGAACATTGGAGGTTAAGAGTAGAAAATGTTTATTGATAGAATAGCTCCTGAGAGGCAGGCAGGGTCCCGCTTTATGGGGGCATCTTACAGAGCAAAACCCATGTGGATACAACATGGACCACAGCTATGATCACCCAATAAGGTTACAAGTATGATCGCTTAGGTGACAATGGTCCGGCTGGGAAACAAGTCAGGTAACAAGTGTGCATGGAAGTGTAGGGGCTGCCCCATGATCATGCCCCAAACAGCCTTCAAGCAGCACAGGTTTGAAGAGTTAACCCTGAAACTGGCAAGTTTCAAGAAGCTGATATGACTCATGGGGGGCAGTATCAGCCCCCGTCAACGGTTACGGCAGAGACCAGAGAAATGGCCTGTGAAGCCATGGGGCTTAATATGAGATAACACAGCCGAGGTCAGAGTGACTCACATTCAAATTCTGTTCCCACAATTAAAACCTTCTTAACTAGAAGGGCAAGGTTATTTGCCAACTATGCCCTATATTCTGTTCTATTCCTAATTCAAGAATGCTTCAGCTCTTACTTTACAGGCCTTGCTTACATCAATAACGTATCTCTGGCAACCACGTGTAGTCCCTTCACTCCGACCTAACTGTGATGTCACCAATAAATAGCAGCTTTGGCTGGCCAGGGTCTTCTGCTGCTCATTCAGCACTGGCCCTCCTGGCTCCCCATTTCTCTCTTTAACTCTGTCTGTAACTTTTTCTTCTCACCTTGTACTGTAGCCAAGCAGGAGATCACAACCTGCCATGGGGGTCTCCAGTAGGAAAGAACAAATGTTTCTTCTAGAAAATGATGGGTCCAGAGGTCTTGATCACCCACTGGGGTGGCAGATGTCTATCTAGACTTCATTAGGCCTGGTGTTTGTCCTTTGAGGAAGTGGTCAGGCCTGGTCATTTTGTCTCTTATCTTGAGGCCTGATCTCTACAGATTAATAGATGTATCTCTGGCCACAGTTGTAATGTGTTTCACCTTTGTCCTGGCCCTCTGGTGGGGTCTAGCCCTATCTGACTGCCTGTACTATTTCTGTCTATGATAGCCTCACTTTATTATTATTATTATTATTTTGGTACTAGGGATCAAACTTGGGTCCTTGCATTTGTGAGGCAGGGGCTGGAACCACTGAGCTAAGTCCCCAGCCCAATAGCCTCATTTTAAAATGGGTGACTAACAGCACTGAGCTCAAGGGTAGATAGGAATGTGTAAATTCAGACAGCAAATGTTAGCTATGCTTGCCACTTACCTTGCAGGTTGCTGTAGACCTTGAATGAGAAAAACCCAGTGCCAGCCCTCAGTGAGTATTCAACTAATGGGCACAATATTTTACAAGTGCCAGCATAAAGGAAGGAGTATAACTACAGGGTCCAACAAACCAATGAGAAATGGACCAAATGAAATGGACCCAGGCAATGATTCCTGACCCATAAGTGTCCCCTCCAGGCATCCCAGACAGGTGAAGGACAGGACTTACGCTGGGGGAACAGGGCTTCCAGCTGCAGGCAGAAGTGGGCTGTGCATTTGCTTGTTTGCTTTCTCCACCTCTTCCATTGGCATGGGCTTTGTCAACACGCTACAAAACTTAGGTGAGAGAAGGACACACACATGATTCACTCCAAGAATACAGGTGAAGGCCTCCCTAAACATAGCATGCATTGGTAAGAGCTTCCAAAACCTTCCCAAATTCTGTTTCACAGCATCCCCCAGGTCTAGAGTAATGAAATAAAGGGTGGTACTAGGTAAACAGGATTACAGCACCAGGGCAATGTGTGGCAGGCAGGGTGTGTGGGAGAGCCCTGGCTGGGGTCTCGTTTTCCATGATTAAACCCTGCTCTGCTGTGATCACAATAATATTGTGACCTGAGGGGCAAAGACAGATCCTATGTGAGATTTCATTTTTGGGTAGCTGAGGTAATAATGAGCTGGTGGGTGTATGTGAATTAATCTCCCCCACTACTCAGAAGTGAAGTCTCATGTACTGTGATTTGTCTTCATTCTTTCCTCCACCTCGGAGCCCTTTGAAATTATTCTTCATACAGAAAAATAGAAAGAAAAAGAAAAGTCAACAAACAATATTTTAACCTTTGCTAAATGCTGATATATGTTCCAACTATCAATATCAATGACAAATGAATCCCATAATGCACAACTTGGTCTTCATATTGTGGTTCTATTGGCTGCCTATGGTCTGATTATGAGTGTTTAAAAATAGAACAAATATGCAAAGAATTGGTGCAGCGTACATTCCAGAGCCAATTTCATACAGTTTAAATTATCAATCAGTCTTTCTCCAAACTCCAAAGAGAACCTCAATCAATCTCACTCAAATAATAGTAACTCACAGAGTTATCATGCATTTAATAAATAGAAGTTAATGATTAAAAACACATTATTGAAAATGAAAGACTCTGGCCTAGGTGGGTATAGACATATAACACAGCTGTTAATCCTCCATAAATTTGTTTTTAATAACGCTGATGTTTTGCTTGCATATAATAACTATTTCATTAAATCTAAATTAAATGCATGGTTAAGCATATTTAAAACATGTAATGTGCTGCTAGTGTTATTTCATTGTGCATTTCCACACAGTTCTAATCATTTTCTGAACTCGAATTGACTAATGCAGGAAGTGGCCGGTTGTTTATCTGACACCTTCTTTCTGGCACCGTTAAGAGCTCCAGCACTGAATGTGTCTGATGGTGAGCACATTGCCAGTCAGTCGGTGTGCAGGAAACACAATGTGTTTATCTGCTGGAAAGAAACGCTTGTGGACCCCAACAAAAGGGGAAGCTTTGCTTTTAGATAACAGTCAAATATGCGTTTGGCTTTAAAAAAACCACAAAGAATCTAATAGTGAAAAAGCTATTGTGGAATAACAGTCGGGGTGCATGGCTGTGCGTGATTTTTCATTTATGGACAGCAGGAGACATTACGCACTTGCCTATTGCCGGTGCATTACTATTCCCGGCTATGCAGAAATGGACCGTGATTTACGGCACACATTCTTTGTTGCGGTTCCCACATTCCTATTGTCTTCCCCGAGTCCTGACTGGCTGCCCGGCTGGCAGAGGGGGTGGCGCTGGACCACACTCAATCATCGCGGTCTCCACAAATAGAGGAGGTGGATGTGAACTGGGATTTTCAGGCTTTGTATACCCAGCAAGCCAATCAGAAAGCAGGAAGAACAATAGCTGAAGGTTTTACTGCTCTTTAAGTTTCCCCACCGAATCCCATGGCGACTGATTATATCACAGAAGTTATATAAAAATCACATTAAATGCCAGCTAAATCAAGACTTTCCATGCCTTTTTTTCAAAGCAATGAAATTCAGGACAAACACTATACTATGCATGAAGATCACCACCTAGAGAGCTAAACTCTTCATTCCAGACGTCATATTTGGAAATGGAACTCGAGGAAAGTGTAGTTTATTCATTTTGTTATTTTCTGCAGTGCTTGCAAGGCTGTTTGGAAAGCCCACCATAGCAGAGCTCAATTAAGAGCCTTCATAATTCTCACCAGTTAACTTTGATTAAATAGGCTGTCTTGGAAGGGAATTCAGTCAGTTTGGGCTATAAATTACCTACAGCGAGTTTGAAACTTTGAAACTCTGAAACATTAGCCCATGGACAGCCCGTTCCTTTAGGAGGATGGGACTTGGCCAGCTAAAGCACAGCAGCTTCATCTTCAGAGTGGAGAGTTGAAAGGGAAAGTCCCTGTCAGTGCTGGGACAGCAGGTCCCGCAGCACAGCTGGACAGGGAGATGTCCACCTGCTTCCCACCGCCCACTGTGCACACAGTGGGGGGCCCAGAGCACCTTCTCCCATCCCACCGCCTGTTAGCATTTGATCGTTACATGATCCCGTGTTCATTGTTCATTTCCTACCTTTCCTGGTCGTCTTTCTTGCCAAAGGTCAAACCACCCATCATGAAATGGCTCCCGCTGATGGCTGCTTTTTAGGTAAGAGGCCAAATTCTTTATAAATAAGCAAGCATTTCCACCTCTGCAAATGGGGAAACTGAAGCTGTTCTGGCTCCAGATAACTGCTCAGGGTGCTGGGCCCCTTGGAGGAGCCTAGGGGTCAGCGTCGCTGGCACCCTTTACGATGTGTCCAGGGTGGAGCTGAAAATCCAGATGCCGAGGGCCACTCTACCTTGCACCAAGGGTCATTGTTTCCTGCCGTGTGGCCTTGTGGGCGCCGCCGCTCCGGACCTCATTTTCCTGTCTCTGGAGTGGAGCTGATCACAGAAGTGGGCTCTGGGAGTTTGTGTGGCTCTAGTACGCCGGGCACTCTGCCCTCACACGGGCTCGGCATGTGACCTACAGTGAGTGTTAGGCTGCACATTCAGCCTTGCCGGCTATGTCCCTGCTGTTTGAAAAATGTCTCCTTAATAAAAGCAGCGTCCATTCGCAAGCGCTCCCTTTGACTTCTACCCTCTGACAGCTATTAACACATTCTAGCCAAACAGCAACTGTGTGAGCGGGGAGTAGGATTCTTGCATTTGCCCTCATTCCCGGGGAGGGAAGATAGGGAGGTGCCAGTGGCCTGGCCAGGGCAGAGCAAGCGCAGCCTCAAGACTCCTGTCCTGAGCTCACCCGGCCTGGCCCAGGAATGGGGTCTCAGACTCAGGCGAGATGGTGAGGAGGGCGAGAGGGCCTTGACCTCTGAATCAAGGTACGCATCGGAGCGCAGGGGAGCAAACGTTCTCTGCAGCCCAGGGTTAAGGATTTACTTAGACTGCGGAGGGGTCAGAGGACCTTGGCCCGGAGCAGGGACAGAGTTAAGGAGCAAGGCTAACTTTCCCTTCAGCAGAAAGAGTAGCGTCAGCAGCCTCCCCGCTTCTGAATACATTAGGATTGTAAATCCAGGGTGCAAATTGTTTGTAGAATCTCAATTAAAGCCCTTATAATATTGTCATTCGTAATCAGCTCACTATGAAAACAGGGCTTCGCGAGGGCACCAAAATCATTTGAACTTGTGCTCTGCAATGGATTTGAATATTCAGATAAGGTCAGCGGTCAGAGCAGAGGCGACAGTTTTGGTCAATAAACAGGTTTAGCGAGACAAAATCTTTTTGTCTAAATGGGAATGGCTCGGAGAAATTGGTTCTCGGGGGGAATCGAAAGATTAAATTCAGCTGCGTTGCAAATTTATTTGCAGGCCACACAAGTGTGTGATGTGATGCGGGCTACCCCAGAAGCCCCCACTGACAGCACCGGAGGGGGCAGCTGTCCCCACCAGCCAAGACATGTGATGGAGCCAGGTCTCCTGGAGCGAGGCAGAGAGGCTCGGAGTGAAGCCTTCACCGGCAGGCTGTTACACACTTCCCCCCGTGAGACCCGGGAGAAACCTTCTCCAGTACCAGTTCCAGGCCCAGTCTGACCTCATGGGCCTGCAAGTCGCAGAGCCTACCAATATTCGGCTGTGTTCCCATCCGTCAGGGTCTTCTGGGGCTGCCTGTGGGCTGATGGGGGGCTGAGAGAAGAGCACAGAAGGGAAGGGGCAGTGAGTGCTGGGGATGCGGGGTCCAGTTCTCCCCAGAGCAGCTGTGCTTTCACCTGTTCTCTGCTTAAGGTTTTATTTGAAGAAAGGATTGGGTGGCTGTATTCATCTGTCTTCCATGACTATAGTGAAATACCCAGGGCTGGAGATCTGATAAAGATAAGAGGGTGTATTGGCTCACAGTTTGGTTCTAGATGTCCAAGGTCAAGGGAAACCCATTTGGTGATGGGCTTCTCACTGGCAGAGTCCTCAGGTGGCCCACGGGTTCACATGGCAGCAACAGGGACCATGCTGTGGACATGTGAGTCTCTTGTGGTTTCTCCCTCTTCCAAAAACCCCAAGATTCTGTGCTGGGGGCCACACCCTGATGGCTTTTTCCAATCTTAGCCCCCCAAAGGCCACATTTTAGCACTATGATCGTGTTTCCACGCTCTTTATCTCTCGAGGTGAGACTGCATTTCCATACACAAGCTTTGGGGAACACATGGGAGCCACATCCAAGCAGAGCAGAGACCAAAAAACATTCAGAAGCCACCGACTCACACCTGATGGTGTCACAGCATTCAGGACGCTTTCCACCAGCCCAAGTGATCACACTGGCCACCACTTCAGCCCCTGCCGTAGGCTCTGTGGCCTCAGCTGCCCTCACAGCCCCTCAGTGACTCAGGCCTGCGATGGGCTGGCAGCTCCCCCACCATGCCAGCAGGGCTTCCGTGCAGCCATTCAGAGTTGCAGCTCCACCTGGCGCCACCAAGAGAGAGAGAGATGTCACCTCTCGGCAGCATGGAGTCCCCTGAGCTCTCTGCATTCCTGTCTTCCCCTCTGCCCTGGGAGGTCGTGGTATGGTCCTGAGGACCCTGGAGCCACTGTGGGCAGAAGTGGGTTCCTGGCCCGGCTGCTGTCCCTCCAAGTGCCAGCCGGAAAGAAGGGGAAGCGGCAGTTAGGAGGCGACCAGGGAGGCCTCAGGTCCTGTTTCTCACCGCCCACGCGACATTCCACCCGATCTTCTCTAGCATGTGCTGTCCTGGAATGTTCTCTTTCCTTTGTGGCACTCACAAAGTGATTTATATAAATTTATATAAATGTGGTTTATAGCAACAGGGCAACTGTTAGAATTTGCCAGGGGTCGGAGGGAGTGTCCTCAGGGTGGCATTGGAGTCTGTTTTCCTTAGGTTGTAGAATCAGTGTCTAAAGAAACGCCTTTTGCCTAATGGGCAAAACGATAGTATACAAGGAATTAAATGAGTGAATTCTATTTCTCCTACTGTATTTCATGTTAGAGAGTTGAGGGCCAAATCTGTGGTTTAACTTTAATAAATGTACAAAATTCCTGGAGGGCACATGGGGTACTGGTTCTATTCTAGGCTCACATTTAAAAAAATATTGTTTATCTCATTTTAATTTTGCCAACCCTACTTTCTCTTTAACATAATTTCTTAGCTTATTTAGATTTCCTTGCATTGCAGGGGATTATATAGTATTGAGGCTCATTTAATCCATTTGGTAATACAGAGAAAGCCACAGATAAATATGGTCTTAGTAAAGGACAGATCCAATTTAAGTATTCAACAGGGCTGCTCTAAACCAAAAAAAAATTTTAATGTAGAAAAAAAAATCCAACAACAATAAAAATGATAGACATCACTTTCAGCCTATTGTATGATGTTTGAAGTGCATTAATTTAGTAAAGAATGACTAACTTGCCATAAAAGCAGACGCTTTTGAAGTCACTATTAGGCAGCGGGACTTTGGGTGGGAGCCCGTGGAGGCAGCCAGGGGCGATTAACCTTTGCCTAGGTTATAAAATGGCCCATTTGAGAACTGCTGCCCCTGGATATATTATGTGGATATCAATTGGGTTATTGAGTGCGAATTTTACATGATGTTAGCATGATGATAAATGTCTGGTTACAAACTGTTTATGACAAGTACAAAAGCCAATAAAAGATTAACGCAGACTTAGATAGATTTTTCTTCTTTACTTGAGTTGCAGTTAATTTATGCATACTAACTCAATACCTGTATATTTGAGGGACGCTAGTTTATTGCGATGAAGGGAGGGGCTGCTGCACGTGTAAGCCAGGTGTCAGGCTCACATTGGAGCTCCCGTTTAGAGGAGATTTTCAGTTGACTGAGATTTTTCATTAGAATTTTTATTTGGTGTAAACTTTACCAACTGAACCTTAGTTTCATTTAGCAGCACTTCAGATCCAGAGAGAAGTCATGAACTTGCAGTAAATTAAGTGTACGAATTTCCTTGTAATTGCAACTTTTTTCCCTTGATTTGTCCTAAAGGGATAATTATTTTTCTTTACATTTTGTACTCACTTGAAGGCGAGTTTATTAACTTTACCTTACGTCATTAAATGTCTTTTGTGGGTTGGACTGGATCCCTTAGACTTCTTTTGCATTTACCGTGGTAACCAGCACCTGTTAGGCACTCAGTAGGGGCATTCTTAGGAGCTTGATTGAATTTCCTTTCCTTTCCTTTTCCTTCCTTCTCTTCCTGCCTTTCTTCCTTCAACAAGTAGCAGTCGAGTAGCTGCTATATCCTGGGCTCTCCAGGGAGTCTGCACGGAAAGCTGAGTAAGATGTGTGTCCCATGCTGAAGGCTGCAGAAGGCTAAGGCCCTGGTGTCACGCTAGGGATGACACTGAGCCCAGGATGGACGCGTCCCAGCCCTGTTGTGCTCGTTGCTTGGCAAGGATGGGATAGGGGGTGCAGTGAGGAGGCGCTCAGCCCGGGACACGCCTGCCCTGAGTCAGCGACCGTGTTTCAGCGCTGCCTGCGCCGCATGCCCAGCAGTGCCGTCCTCCTCCCCTGTGTCGTCAGTGCTTGAGGCTCACTAATCCGCTTTCATTGGATGTGTGCGTTCCTAGGAGATGTGGAGCTTTATTTTTGAGTGTTGTCATCACTGCTGCCTGTCTTATCAATTTGCATCTAGTCTTATTCTGCAGAACACTGAGGTACAGCACCCTGTTTTTCTGTCTGAGAGCCTGGCCACACTGGGGTCCCCAGAGCAGGAAGCCGCGTTTCTGGGGAGAGAGCCTGAGCAGGGCGAACTGCCTCTGTCTTTCACTCCTCGCCAACCTCGGCTCCTGTTCGTGTGAGCGGCGGAGATGCTGGGTGCGTGTGCTCCTCTGCTACTTCTGTTTGAAGGCCAGTGAGCTTGGCGTCATTGTCAGGGGGAACCAAGGACTGGACAGTCTGGCCCAGGGCTATGCAGAATCTAGCCCAGGACTGCACTGGAAATTCCCTGCTCCAGACCCTGGTTCCTGACAGTTTTATCTGAACACAGGCTCTCTTGTTTCCTAGGATTACTGCTTCAAAGGATTTAAAAAGAAAAACTTCATCCTAGCTTTTACTTTGAAAATGTGTACACATACCAAACATCTGGAAGTAGAATATGCGGAGACGTTAAGCTCCCTGCTAGACGGGACAGATACTCTCCTTGCACCACGTTTGCTGTTTCTCCTTACACACCCAGCACACACTCACATCCCCTCCTGAGCCACCTGAGTTGGAGCCGATGGGGCAGCTCCGCCTCCTCACCAGGAGGGACGGCTTCTGCACACCCAAAATCCATTGTTCTAGCTTAAAAAAAGACAGCGACCCATAATACAACCAGTGTCTGGCCCACTCACGAGCCCTCTCATGACGTCAGGGTGACGCCTGTGAGATGCATCTGTGACCATAGCATCAGGTTTTCTCCCCAGGACACCTGACTGGCACGAGGGCCGTGGACCCCGTCTACCATTTCCCGGCTCTTGGCCTGAGGGCCTTCTCCTTGTCTCTCTCCTTTTCTCCCTCCTCTTCCTCCTTCATTTCTTTTTGGCCTCATTGAGTTTAATTTCTCATATCATCTATAATATTACACACTACTAAAATAAATTCATGAAATACAAGGTATGAATGAGTTCTGTTCTGGGAGAACAAGTTCTGCTACAGAGTTCATAAGTCAGATTTGTCCATGAGCCCAACAAAGTGAGTCTCATTCACTGTGGACACAAGTGCACAATGTAAAACACGAAAAAACTAAACTTGAGGTCCGTTTGTACCTGTGACAGTTTACAGCGTGAATGCTTGTAGGTTGGGGACCCGCTGTACGACTTGAGATACATTTTTTTGCCCACATTTAAAAGATACTATTTTCATTATAAAAGCCACCCATTATAATTGATGAAAATGTGAAGTAGAAAGAACTATTTAAAAAACCGTCACATCCCCTCTGTCTCTCCGCACTGACGCGTAACCCCCTTCAGCCTTTTTCTGAACATAGAACACCGGAAAGCGGTGAGGGCAGCGCACACATGGCGTCACCCCTCCCTTTCCCATGAGGCTTTGCAGGGGACACCTTTGTAGGGAACTGGTTACGAGGGAGGCCCAGTCCTGCTCCTGCTCCGCCCTGGCCGTGTGACCCCATGTGAGCATGGGTGTGCAGCAGAGGGGGTGAGGGCCCTACGTCACAACGCCCCAGACCCCGGCATGGCACTCCGGCCTGTGCAGCCCTGAGGACTCAGCGTCTCCCTCTAAGGACAGGTTGTTGTGACATGGGACGAGATAAAGGACACCCAGTGCCCCACTCGGAAGGGGTGCAGTGGATAGAGGGCTGGCCCGTCTCCCCAGGTATCATACTTCCTGCCGGAGGAGAGTTTTGTGGTGATGACAGTCGATTCCCAAAGAAAGCCCACTGTGAGGAGGGTCATCACGAACAGCTCCTTTTGGGAGAATCGGAGTTCTGCTCTCCATAGAAGCTGTCACCTTAGTAGGAAGGACGGAGGCAGGTGGTCCTCGGGCCTCCCCGAGGTCCGCTCCTCACAAATCCATCCCAGAGCTCTGAAGACAGAGCCCATACTCATCCCCAGACCTTCTGCATGCCCCTCCCTCGCAAGGATCCCACGGAGGTGGGGACCACGACGTGTGACCACTCAGGGTCTTCCTCCCACAGGAGGTGACGGGATGTCTGCTCCTGTGCTGGCCAAGGATGCGTGGTTGGAAAGATGTATCTCCCAACACACGGAGAGCACTGAAAAGCCCTGTGCGAGGTGTGAGGCCCTGAGACAGAGAAGCCACTGTGTTCACTGCTCTGTCCCCATCATGCGGGACAAGACCAGGCCCTGAGAATCCTCACTGATGAGAATTCTGAGGAAGAAAGGAAGGACAGGAGTTTCATGCGGGTGGGCACCATTGTTGCATTGACCATGATGCTCAGAAAGAGTGGATGTTGATGTCCTCTTCTCCCCAGGATAAACTGTCACCCAAGAGCCACCGCGAACACGAACCCATTCCCAGCGGCAGGCTTGGTGCAGAAGCAACCCTAGCACAGCCATGTGAGCATCAGCAAGACCGCACTCCTTCAAATTTATATCAGCCGATGTTTAAAAACCTGACAAAACCAAAATGCGCTCCCCATAAATTACGGCGGCCCCTTCTGCAGCCAAAGTGAAGGTTGCATCAGCGTTTCCGTGGCTCGGTGGGTCACGGGTGGCGGGCAGGGCTGCGGCTCTTGGCTGTGAAAATGCACCTCGGTTCTCAGGCAGGCAGGAACATCTTGGCCTTGTAGCGAATGTGCTTCACCAGATTCTGAGAGCAAGACCAATCTGTTTATTTCCCTCGTTGTCAGTGACTTCTGTGAAGAGAAACATCATGAATTTCATCTCCAATTCCATCTTTTTTAAAAAACAAAGCTGGGCAGTTCCAGATCTTCACTGAGCAATGGCAGACTCTTGTCTTTGCAAAGGCAAAGGTGAAAGAATGGTGTAAGCCTTGACTTCAAGGACGGATAGCATTGGAAGCCAGCTGCCCTGCTGCCGCTCCGACTCCATTAAGAAGGGTGGATAGTGGCTTGATTTCGACCCAGGCCTCTCGGATGGCTGCGACGGGAGAGACGTGGTGATGAGATCAGGCCGACGACTGCTCCACACCAGTCCCTGCTCTGTAGCAGCTCGTGAGGTATAATTTCCCACTGGCTTCCTGGAAACATCATTTAGTGTAACTGTTCATATACTTAATTAAATTTTTTTAGTTTCATTTAAGCATGTATTTATTTGCAGTCCTTTGGGCACAAAACATTTTCAACATGGTTCTTCACAGCCTTGCCAGAACACCAATTGTTAGAAGGGGGACTGCGACTATTAATTTAGTGTAATAAAAGATTTAAGTGGCTGTAAGGTTTTGATTTTCATCCCCACGAACTTTGGCGTCCCCTAAAAGCAGAGGTTATATCTATCCAGTTTTGTTGATTCTTACGTGTACCAACTTCCCATGATAAATATAACAATTGCCTACTGCAAAACGTACTGATAAAACTTAAAATTAAAAAAAGGTTTTGTTGATTCTTCTTCATTGTTGTGTGTAAATTCGTGCATATACTTTTGCATTAATTATATTATTTGGTTTCTCCTCAATGACAGTCTGTGCTACCTGACCTTAAGTCAGGGAGGGGACAGACCCAGCCCGTTCCTGGGGTCAGGAGGATACCCAAAGGGGCAGTGCCAGGGCAGGGTCCGAGGCTGGGTAAGGTCAGCCAGGCTGGGGAGCAGAAAACGCGTGTAACTGAAGAAGGTGGAGGCCCAAAGACCGATAAGAGGTCAAAACAAAATAATGTATTTTCTGGGTTTAAACAACACACAGTTTCAGGGCAGCAGGGCTGTGCTTGTGAATGGCTTCCTGGGACCTAGAATGAATATGTTCGTGTTGTCGGTTCAGGACCCCATGTTGCTGAGGTCGCTGCAGAAGCAGCAGCCCAGGACCATGAGCAGGGCTCCTCAGCCATCAGAAACTGTCGCTGCCCCCAGGTCATGGGGCTGCAGGACCCTGCCAGGACCCCACGGCTGAGGCAGGCACAGGAGGGGATGTGCGCTAGCGGAGAGGAGGATGTGGCTTTTGTCAGCTGGAGGAGGCTGGGACCGGGACTCCAGGGTGTACGTGTATTTACTTTTCATTTAAGTAAGTAATTGAAGTTGTACTTAAATGGAAAAAGATGGCTAGGTTGGAAGGGAGACACACACACACACACAGGGCGACCAAAACCCGCAGTGAATGTGTGAACTAAAGTTTAATACAGTACTGTGGGTCTCCGCAAAATCCGCCTCACTTCAAACACTCATCCCATCGCCCTGGCCGCTTTCTGCAGCAGCTCTGGAGCCCTCTTTCCCGAGTGTCTTTGCGAGGTGTGATAAAAAATCTAGTGACTGTTGCCGCCGAGCGCTGTCCAGCAGAAAGGCAGCTCGTAACACACGTCTGTCCTTGTGCACCTTATTCACCAGGTTTGGCACCGTGTGACTTCCGGCTCTTCCCCAAAGTCAAAGTGACCACAAAAGAGAAGTGGTTTGAACTGATTCAGGACATCAAGGCAGCCGGGACGGCACAACTGAAGACCCTCCAGTGATGACTGAGGTGGCACTGCAGACCAGGCGTCCTCTTCCCGAGTACAGGTCTGCACGACTTCCCTGCCAACGCTGAGGGCTGAAAGGGCAGGGAGAGTGGCGGTGCGTGGCAGTGGGCGCCCTGGGAGAGGGCGCGGGAGGGATGGAAGTGACGGGTGCGGCCCGGGGAGGCATCGGTGCTCAACCTCTCTGGCCAGACCCCACAAGGGCATGGCCCTGGGCTCAGCTGCCACTTCCCGGACAGAGGTGACTGAGGTGGAAGTGACCAGCTGCCAGGCTGCCCTACGTGGTGGGAGCCTGGGAGGGGCCTGCTGGCCATGTGAGGAGGCAGGCGGCCCAGGTGGGGACAGAGTGGGCAGGTGCAGCCCCAGTGGCCCACCCAGGCGAGGAGGACAGAGCTCGTCTGTGAGACGGCTCTGTCCTGACCACTTGCGGGGCCCACACGGCCCAGCCTGCCACGTCTCGAGGACGCAGCTGTCAAATGGGGCCACAGGGTGCCCCAGGGTGCCCCACCTCAGAAGTGTCCATCGGTGTGTGGCACGCAGCAGACCCTTGGGAAAAACCAGCTATTCTTCCTTGTGACAAGGAAGGCCCGCTCTCGTCCCTCCACCATCCCTGAGTCTTCCCCACCCACAGGCCACTTAGGGGACAGAAGCCAGCCCTCAGTGACAGAGTGGGAAACTCGAGCCCTGGGAAGGAGCCCAGCTGCTCAACCTGGAGTCGGCTGAAAGGCCAGGCAGGGCAAGTGACCTGGGCAGCAGCTGTGTGTCCTTGACCTCCTCGTGAGGACCTTGGGAGATGGCGGCCAGGCGGGACTGGGGAGGCGTGCGTCCTCTCTGGGTCACCTCCTCGAAAAGGCCAGGGAGGAGGCAGCGTCCACAAACTCTGAACTCTGGCCCCAAAGCTGTAAGGCCGTGGGGGGGTCAACCCCGAGGGTGTTCAGGGACCCAAGTTCTGCTGAAATGTCTTCTTGTGTCTACCAGACTGCCCCCCGCGGGAGTGTGCTGGGACCATTCAGCGGCTTTATTTTAATGTGTGAAGTACGCCTCCCTCTTGAGCCCTAACTGAGGCCCTGACGTACAAAGGAGATACAGGCCAGGACATCTGAGTGAGGCGGGGCTCACCTGGGCCCCGCCTGGTACCTCGCACCTGCTGTCTTCTCAGGTGCAGAGCTGGAATCTCTGGCCTCAATCCCCAAGTGTGGACCTAGGCCAGGCAGGGCCCAGGCGCCTGCTGTGGAGAAGCCCGCCATGATCTTCCCGTCAGACCTGGCAGGGCCTCCCGCACGCCACCTTTCTCAGGGACAGGGAGCAGTGTCCCATGAGGGGCCATCAGGGTCTGGACTCTGGCTTGGGCCTCATTTGGAAGGGTCAGGAGACCTGCGTCAAGCACCACAGATGGAGGGGAGGAGCAGGGACTCATGGCGTACTGAGTGGATCTGGTCTAGGCAGGGGTGGTGTTGCCATCCGGCTCCTTGAACAAACAACTGAATCTAGAAAACAATGAAGGAAGTGTCCCACAGCTGCGCAGATGTGGGAGCCAGCAGAAGCCTCATATTTATTTGGGTTCATGGAGATCAGCTCATTTATTGATGACTCTTGCTGGGTTAGGAACCACAGGAAAGGGAGGCAAGAAGGACTTTAGGCCTTGGAGAAGGAAAGTCTATAAATCAGCACACACATCATTGCATCAGAAAGCACCACTCCGTGTAACACCACATCTTGCCGGCTATTGTGTAAATAATCACTGTACATAATACTGCACACAGAATACAAATGGAAAATACATATGGTGAGGAAACGCAGCAGAAATGAGGGGTGTAGGGAGAGAGGGGAGGCCAGCTCTGCTGCCGATCAGTGGAAGGTTCCTGTGCTCTATTCAGATGGAAATCATGAAATGGCAAAGAGCAGCTCTGCCAGTGTCCCGATGCCTCATAGACACTGACGGTACCGGCTGCTAACATTGTACCCAGGGTTGACTCTTCTGGTCTCTGCCACTGGTCCTCATGGCTGCCAGTCCTCGGAGCGCTGTAGTGCTAATGGCTCAGAGTGTCCATTGCTCTTTCTTTTAAGATGGCCACTGTCCACACCCCTCAGGGTAAGAATCTGGAATAGATTTAGAAGACCTTGGAACCCACGCTACCTGAAAAGTAAATCTCGAGCAGGTGTACAGACCACCAAGGTTAGTTTTAATGTAACAGGGCCTGGGCCGCAGCACAGAGGGGCTGGCACTCTGCAGAGCCCAATAGATCGATCACCCAGGAAGTGTGTGGGAGTGCTCCTTATATAGCAGCTCTAAGCCTGTGATTGGCCTAAGCACAGACCCAGGCTACTGATTGGTCTAAGCATGTAGGCCTGTGATTAGTCCAAAAGGGGGCGGGGCCCCAGGACAGCTGCAGCTATCCCTGAGGATTTGGGAGGGCTGGGGCTGTACCAGCTATTTGACAGCTATTAGTCTCTGGGGAAAATGGCAGTGCTGAATCCAGGCAATCTTCCAGAAGGCTAGCTGTGTTCATCACAGGACTGTGTGGTGTTGGGAGGTTGAGTGCTAACAGTGGGTCCAGATCCCTTCCTTCCCAATCTGTTTGAGCCCAACCTAGGCAGCTTAGAGACTTAGCCAGGTCCCATCTCAAATAAAACAAGATCTAGGGATGCAAAGGCCCTGGGATCATACCCCAGTACTGCAAAACAACACAACACAAAACAAAGCAAAAAGTATGATTAAGAGTGCCCACACAGCGCTGTCATGACAGTTACCAAACAATGCCTGCACACGGATGGCCATTAAACCCTGGGCCAAGTATGCTTTGAGCATGGAGGATCTGAGGAGAGGGTCCCAGGAGGCTGCTACCCGTGGGAGGGAGGAGAGGGTGCAGGCTGTGGGCTGTGTGCCCTGCCTGAGGGCTTCGCACCTGTCCTTCTGGCCTCTGCACCCCATTCCTCCTGAGAGGCCATAGCCCCAGCCATGTGCTGACCCCTGGCCTATCCCTTTGTGGCCAGTGCACTGCCATTTATGGTCAGGAAGACTTGTGAGGGTTGGGGTTCCAGGGTTCCACGCGCACTTGGCTGGGATGGAGAGGGGAGATGGTCTCCAGAAAGGGCCCTGGAGTCGCTCTGCAGACCACTTCCTTCCCTGCGCTCCTGTGGTCTGGTGTGCAAGGGATGGTGAGGAATATGTGGGTGCTCGGGAGCGCCACAGCCCATGGGTGCAGCTAAAGAGGAGGGGTTTACTTCTTACATGTGCCTCTGTGTCGCCAAACTCCTGCACTACTAAAGCCAGATGTTTGCAAGTTTCCCTCCTGTCCACAGGCTGTTGTCGCCCTGGCCAGGTTGGGGGCTTGCTGGCACTGTGTCCCCAGAGCCAGGCCTTGGCTCCCGTGAGGCCTAGAGACCCCTCTTGGAGGTGCAGCAGGTCCTGGTTGTTGGCCGTAGACGGTGCAGGCCTGTTGGTGCCTCTGGTGGGGGCCACCCTGCAATCCCTGGAGCGCCGGCCTTGGATTCGGCCCTCAACCTCCCAGCTCTCCGAGCTCAGTGCGGTGTGGAAGCCAGTCCTAGATCTGCACTGTCGCCAGCCTCGCGGCCCCTTGCCTGCAGCCCTCAGAGCTGCAGCATGGGTGTGCTTGTGTCCACCCTGAGCGACACAGGTGGGCTCCGGGTAATGAAGGATGAGGGCTCTGCACACAGTACGTTCCCCACAGCAGCAGCTGCTCTTGTCACCTCGGGACCAAGACTGCTCAGCAGAAAGTCACCTGGAAGTGGCCGTGTGTGTTGAAACCTCGGCCCGTTTGTGGTCACCGGCTATGACACCTTGGACACAGGGTACCCCGCCGGCCTCCCCTCCCTGCCCAGCCACTGCTAGAGCCAGCGGCGGGGGCGATCACCACCTCCCTCTTCTGCCGTCCGACTTGATGGATAGGGTTCCCAAGTTAATGCCATAAATGCTGTTTGGAAATTACAAGTCCATACTGCTGGTGGTCCCGCCAAAAAAAGAATTAATTTATAATCATGAATATAAATTTCGTAGATAGTATTATTGTCATTGAGGGGTTGAGTTATGGTGCGTATGGGGAGTGGCTTATGGGACAGAAAACCATGTCGCCATAACTCAGAGCAATTCCAATGACAATAGTCATATCTATTGCCTCGTAATAAATCAATCAGAGGCTGGATGGAGCCCTGGAGCTGGTGGCTCATGCTGACAGGGCACAGGAACGGGCTGCAGGGTTCCCGCCTGGACCCCACTGCCCTGGTCTCCTAGACAACATGTTCTGATCCACAAGCTTTTAGAAAAGTAAGCGGCATGGCCGAGTCTTTCAAGATCTGCTTTTTGCTTCCATTTTGTCTACAAAAGCCAAGTTTCCTGAAGAGAGAATTATTTACTAATTGCAGATGGGCCCCAGAGTGAAGCAGTGCTAGTCCCCCAAGAGCCAGCACGCATCCGAGGGCCTCTTGTGGATGGCGCACCAGGCAGTATATCTTCCTGTTAATCTACACTGGCTCCTCCCAAAGGCCACTGACCCCGGGGAGAAGTAAAGCAGCCAGATCCAAGCACCACCGAGTGCCCCTAACTGGCTTTCAAAGCACACTGCTGGGGAGAACGCAGAGCCCTTGCGGGGAGTGACCCCTTGCAGAGACGGGAGCGTGGCTGGGGCTGATGGAGAGGAATCTCACAAGTGCGGAGCTCTGGTCAGTGTATCGTCCAACAGAACGGGAGCGCGGAGCGGCCCAGGCTGTCAGTGTGTGGCTTGCCCATTGCCCCTTCGGGCACGGCTCACTCAGCGGGGCGCAGCACAAGGCCCTACCATGTTATTACTATTCAGCCTCGACATGGCCTATTTTTATAGACTCTAAGGTGTTTGCCAGCCAGCGGAATTGGGCCTTTCTTCATCCTGTCTGGTGCGAGTCTGTCATCGGTGGGCTTCATTAGTCTTTGCCACTTAACTAGGTTGTTGCAATTTGTAGTATTTAGACTTAAATTTTCATACAAAGATGGAGGTTTGAATGTTATGATGCTCCTTCAATTAAAAAAAAATAAAAGGCAGGAATAAGCAGGCAGGGTGAGGAGAAAACACCCCGAGAGGCTAGGTCAGCTGTCTTCCAGAAATCTAGAGGGCATCTCAGAAACAAACATCTGCACTTGTAGTTTCCACAGAAACCCTAAACTCTCCCGTCCCCGCCTGGAGTCCAGCACTTGACAGAAATGAAAGCGCAATTGAAAGCCTCTTATGAAAAATCTAGGCTCAATCATGTTAGCATACGAGCAGCTTACAGTCACCATTTAAAAATGTAAGTTAGAATTTTATTTCCTGAATGTGGGAAGTTCTTCTCAAGATTGCTCGCCCTTCCTCACCGCGCACGCTTCGCACCCAGCAGGGCTGAGCGCCCAGAGCCCGCACGCTGCTGTAGTCTTTAAAATGCACATGTTGTGAATGGTTCTGTTTGGAGGAGCCTGGCGCCAACCCCCTCAGTGAAGCGTCTTCCTCTGGCGCCTGTGGGGGCGTGTTGACTCGTGTCAAGTATCTTTTGACTTTGATAAAAATGTATTGAGGGTCAAGATTATCTCTTAATAGTTCACACTGCTATTTAATAACCTGCCTCCAGGTCGGAAGGTGCCCATCCCGTCGCCGATGCGGGAGCGTTGGACTCGGCCGCCGCCCCCGACCGCATCAGACAGCCCTGTTATTCCAGAGCAAGGCTGGGGAGACAGAGGGTACGGATCTCGTTAGGGGCGCCTCTGACACCATCACCATCAATTGTCTTCTGCTGGGGCTGATCACCACCTCAATTATCTGGTGTCCAGCCTACCTGATAGGTTTCTGCAAACTATAACTCTTCTGTCGATGAGCGTGGAATAATGACAGCCGGGCAAATGGACAGAATACAAAAGAGATAAGGCCAGAAGGAGAACACAGTGCATCTCTGGGTACAGACCTGCGAGACGCTCCGGCACTGTGCGCTTTAACACAACAGAGCCCATGGCTCCTCGGCAGGCTGGCTGAGCCTGAGCTCGCGGCCAAGCAGTGGAGACAGAGCCGTCGGCGCAATCTGTCCCCAGTTAATCACCCCACGGAAGTATACCAAGGATTAAAGATATTGTGATGTGTCCATGACATAAAGAGACAGGCTTTTTCCTCAAATCACTGCATACACAATTTGTAGTAAAAATGACTTTAAATAAAGGGTTTAATAGTGACCCTTTATTTAAGGGGAGATACATTTTTCTAAATGATTCCAATTGAAATTCAATTTCAAATTGAAATCATGAATCAAGGAGAAAAGTAAAACACAGGGAAGAGAGTGCCGAGGCATCATAACAATGTATATTTTTAGCCATATGCAGTGCCACACGCACACCAGGAGAAAATAGATTTTAGTGTGATATTAATTGAAGTTTTCCCAGTTGTGGTTCAGGAGGTTAATTTGAAAAGAATACATTACCAATATATTTATAGCATTTAAATAAATTAAAATTATGCTTCATACATCAATTACGCAGCTGTTAAATAATATTTTTATTCTATGTAAATCCCATCCATTCATCTCCGTTGTGTAATAAATGACCATAATTACGGGGCTTCATTGGGAGGAAGGTCATTGGTAACCCTGTAATTCCTCATTGGTGTAAAGAGAGAAAACAGAGCCATTTGTGATGAATGTATTCAACCTTTGCATACTTTGGTACTTCAGACCATGCATTAAAACAGCTGGAAATTAAGTTCTTCACTTCCACGGCATTTTTAATCTGCTGTGTTGATTTTTTTGGTAAGTAGGCCTTCTTGAAGCACATCCTTGGCTATTTCTCTTTCTTTTTGCTTGCAGATATGCACACACACACACACACACACACACACACACACACGCACACACACAGGATGCCTGCCCAATTTAGTCTGCTCTGTGTCACACAGATCCAACTCAGGAGATTCCTTGTTATAAATAATTTTCTTAATTTGCAGTATTTCATTTTACTTTTAGGGAAAATAAGAGCTTTACAAATTTCCCAAAACTGAGGCGTTCTATCCATGGATGAGCTCTTCCCTGGAAAGACCTCGATTCCAGGTCACCAGCTACCTTTCAGGTACCCTTGGTACATTTCTTCCCTGGAAGACTGTTCAGCTGTCGCCTGGAGGATCTCGGAGCCACCCTGCTTCCTCGAAGCAGGAGCGGAGGCCACTTTTCCTAGAGAGGCCAAAGGTACACAGACGTGAACGTGAATGCTAAGCGTAATGGGCCAGCAACCAGTAAATTACAGAGAAGGCAACAAGTGGAGGCCTTAACAACGACAGCTCAGTTTAATTCCGCTGCACCTTGCATCCTCCGGACCCTGGAGGTCTGCATTTTTCCTTGCATTCTGGGAGCTGAGGAGGCCTAGGCTTTGCACCTGGAAATAAGAACAAATGACTTTTAATTCCTAATGAGAAAAATATCCAACTGAGCAGTATTCCCTGTGTGTGCCAAAAGGGCCTGTAACTGAAAGGTTTTCAGGACACAGTGTTCCAAGCAGAGGGAATCCCTTTAAGGAAGCTTGGATTTCATACCATCATTCTAACGCAGTGTCATCAGTGGGAGCCGGCAGTTGAAGGTCTTCAAGCTCTGATTGGACCTGGGTTGTTTTGAAGGCAATGGGTACAAGGAAGGGAAGCCTGGGTCGATGGGCTCCCGGCCCGTGGTCCACACTTCCTGAAGTGAGCCGGAGTTTGGCGAGGGCAGTTTGGAAGCTGTCTTAGCCTAAATCCCGAGCGTGGCCCCACTGCCCGGGGGAGCCGTCCGTTGGCATTCCCGGGACCCGCATCCAGCCCGTCCTACTGTTAATCCAATTCACTCGGCCGAAGAAGCCCCACTGCTTCAGCTTGCCAACAAATTAAAATCCAGCTCCATAAAAACACCTTGAATTTGGAAGGTATTGGCTGGCCCACTAGACTTGAAACTTCATTTATTCTGGCTAACTTCTCAATTATCTTCCCAGCAGTGGAGATGTGTAAAACTGCAAAAATCAATAGGGTTCTATTCCCATTCTATTGGAAAGGGAAAAATTAATGAGATAGGACACTCTCTTAATCAGAAATAAATGTTTTAATTCAGATAATGACATAGTTTTCCCTCGCTGAGGGTGACAAATGCTGGGCCGCGCCCCCAGCAGAAGCAGTTTCAATTTTATTGTAAATATAAAAGGTATTGATCGGCGAGATGTACAAACCCCATTGCTTACAAAAGCCATTCAGGGGGACTGGGAAAACTATTAAGCACTGGGTCAGAAATCAATAAACAACACTGAAATGTAGCAGAGGTTGCCCTGGGCTTTGTGGAGTCTTTGAAAGCCAAGTGGCAGGAATAGTGACAGAAACGTCTCTTGTGGAACAGTGTTGGGGATGAAGAGGGTCAGATGCTTCATCTCTTCTGCGGCCTGACAGGGCCCAGGCCCTGGGCTCATGCAGTCTCCCGGCCTCCTCTGATTTAAATACATGCTGATTCACCCTCTCGCTGACATCGGCATTTATTGGCTTCGGCCGGATGTATTGGCAGGGATGGAATCTGACCTGTTCGGGAGGGCAGGGCGGCACTGCTGTGCAGATGCACCGAGAGCCATCAGTGCACCCAGAACTTCCTGCAAACGTGGGGAGGGGCAGCGGCCACTGTCAGAGCAATTACAGGGCGACCTTGGGCCGCGAAGGCTTTTGCAACAGCTGACTAAATGTAATATTTCTCCTTTTGGGTTTTTAATTTTAATACTTGCTTTAAATTCACATGTGGTTTTGGCTCCCTTCTCTCCGTCTTTTATCACGAATTAATATGCTCCACAGTCTCCAGACCACCCTCCTTCCTGCGTGGTGCTGGGGGAGAGATTCTAGCCCATCCCATCATCTTCTGCCCAGCCGGCCCCACCACCCCGCTGGAGTTGTGAGCCTGGGAGAGTAGCCCAGATTACAGGCCACCCTTACATTCTGAATGGAACTGGGTGGGATCTTTAAATAACGTGAAGTCAGTCATTGAACTACAGCACACATTTTCTTGCAGAAGGTGCTAGCCTGGAAATCCCCCGAGTGGAGAAAAATTACACAAGGGAAAAGAGATTCCATGAAAGGGGTGGGATCTGATTTTTCTAATCAGACATTGATTTGAAAGGTTGAAAGCTGAGTATTGAAACTTTTAACAGCACCCTTTCGGAGGCAGGGACAAAGCCGCCTGTCCCTGGCCAGCTGTGTGGGGTGTGGCCGAGGTCCAGGCCCCTCCTGCTGGCCGCGATGAGATTGGCGAGGGTCAGGCTGCCCATCAGCAGGTGAAGTGTTCAGCTGTGGGGGATTTGAGTCTCATCTCACCCCAGATATTGTGTCAGCTCCATGTCATTTTCATCTCGGAGAATGATTTGAGAGCGTGCCTTGTCCCTTGTTATTGCGGTCACTTGACCCCAGACGTAGCTTCTGTCGAATACCATCATTTTAACAAAGTCGGAGTCGTGCAGCCCGAGCCGGGCGGACCTCTTCAGGCTGCTGCTCCCCGAATGGCTTCAACGCAGATTTTACTGCCCCCTCCGTCCCCAGCAAATGAATGTTAAGGCCTCGAAGAATTGGATCACACTGGAAGTTATAGTTTCCCATCACCGTTAGCATCTTTAAAATTGAATCCCAGTCCCCTCCTATTTGGTCGGTCATACTGGTATTTCTCTTTCTGCATTGGGATGTGCAAATCTTGAAAACTACTTTCTGCTTAAAAAATAATATTCTGACCCCCAAAGTGACAATTCCACGTTCACCACCAAAAACAGAGATGATGCCTTGATTTCTTGTCTGGAGATGTGCTCTCTATTCCCACACTGCCTGTCACCTTCCTGTCCTTGTTTTTGTCCTTTGGACATTTTAAAGTTACCTTTAAATTTACATGAAGGCAACCATCAGGCCATCTGCATCTTTAAAAGCCCTCAAATGCATGTCCTCATTTCTGGGCCCTTGGGTGAGTCCAGAGGAGGCTGCAGACTTGTTCTGTGCAATGCTACATTTCAGAAAAGAAGCTGTTACACTGCCGAATGCAGGCAGCTCCCAGCTGAGGTGGCGGTGAGGCAGAGATCGACGGGACCTTGGCTTCCTTCCCAAGTCATTCTCCCTGGTCAGCAGTGACAGCCACTATCAACGTCAGTGAGCAGCGCCGGGTCTAGGACAGCGTGGACAAACTTTGTCTTCGAAAGGCCAGGGAGTAATGTTCCAGACCTTGGCCAGGTGTGTGCGCGTATGTGTGTGTCTGGATAGTTTGCAGGTGCATTTAGCCTACGGGTGGCGGGTTTTGGGTGGATCCGTGAGCTAGAGGAGCCTAATATGTGTTAGTTGGTTGTGAGACTGTTCACTTTAGGATCATATAACATGGTGTTAGTGAAAATGTCTCCTAGCCATTAGCACTCAGTAAATGCTCCTAATTACATTAGTCAGCCTTCGGTTACTGTGACAAAGTGCCTGAGGTAATCACCTTAAAAAGAAGCGAGGGTTACCTTGGCTCACAGAATCAGAGGTTTCAGTCCCTAGTTGGTTGGTGTGGTGAGGTAGCATCATGGCAAAATCAAGCTGCTTGCCTTGGGGCAGCGTGGGAGCCAATGCGAAGAAGAGATGGGGTCCTCGGGTCCCCTACCTCTCGAAGGCTTCATTGCCTCCCAACTGCCCGAGGGCCTCTTGGGAGAGCTGCCCACACTGCCGCTGCAATCATTGCCTCCTCAGGGCACAGGCCATAGAACCACTGGCCCCATATTTGAAAAACACCAGTGTCACCCAGGCCACCATTTGTGTTTCTTCCAGGCACCACATGAAATGGCTGCTTTAGACTTTAGAGATACGATGAACGACAAATGTCACGGCTCATCCCAAGTACCGAGGTCTTCTCACACCACCCAGGTGGGTTCCAGGTGAGTCCGGGTGAAAAACCACTGCTTGGGGTCAGGGTGGCCGCTGATCCTTTCCTCCCCAGAAAAGACACAAAAAGCAGGGTGCATCTGCCTGCGGGTGGCCCGATGAGGACCCGGGCTTTGTCGCTGGCCCTGTCTGCACTGCAGGCCTGATTTCGAGCCACCTGGGCCCCTCCGCGCTGACCGCCCAGCTCTGGCATGATGGCCAACTGTTGGCACAGAGTCGGGCACTGGGCACAGAGACAGCTGTGGGGCATGCATGGGTGACACATGAGGTATGAGGGAGGATTTGGACCTGGCCCTTTGCACACAGCCGCTCTGAGGCAGAATTAGAATCGGGAGGAGGCCCGGCTGGCCGAGTCAGACCATCCCACGGACCTCATGTGCCACTGTCGGCACACAGACCAGATCCCTCTGATTAGGGAGGGCAGGCGTGCCTCAGTGTCCCCTCTGCTCAGCAGGTGGAAGCTCTCTGGGGGTCAGGGAGGCATCTCAGGAGCAGAAGTGTGTGTGTGTGTGCATGCACGCGTGCCGGGAGTGGGGCACTCTGCTCCTGTCCCTCAGTGAGCTAAGCACGGAGGTATGAACTCCCAGGACAGGTTTCCTCAGGCCCATGGTCACGCAGAGACAGCAGCTAACGTGAACGTGATGTAGCCAACACCACTTGCGCAGTGAGCCTGGGACAGAGGAGGAAGAGGCACAGCGGGTCCCAAGCCGGGCGACCTGGAGACCTCCTGCCAGGTCCACTCCATGCCGGCCACACCTGCCATAACCTCCACTTCCCTGGAGGCGCCGCCCACAGGGCTGGCCATCCCCACCACATCCCTGTCCCATGTGGGGCGGCAGCGGCTCTCCATGTGGGCACGGGGCTGAGCCCTGCACTGTCCCAAGCAGGCACCCTACCACCGGACCCTGACCATCTCTGGCCCCTGTCCCTGTCTGTGAAGGGACAATGGCGGACCTCTGACGGGCATTGTGAAAACTGGGAGGCAGTGTGTAGAACGCAGTGTCTGATCGTTTGTACACATGTCCACACATCACCAGGTAGAGCTGCAGGGACGAGGGGACAGAAAATCACCGATACTACTTTGCTTCCTGAAGTTCTGTCTTCCGGAGAAGGTCCCTTAGGAGTCACAGGAGCTGCTCCAAGTGTCTCCCAGTGACTTCTGGAAGCAGGACGGAGGCCGGGCACAGTGTCTGAGGCCTCAGGCATGGCTTGGGTGACGCAGAAGTCAGGAGAGGGCAAGTCTGGGCTGTGGCTGACCACAGGGTCCCCTGGGAGTGGTGGTGAGGGAACGTGGGAGGGGCAGCACCTGCAGAGCGGCCTGGGACCTGCACCAGAAGGCGGGACCTCGCAGGGTGGCGGATCTCCTCTTCAGTGTGCATGGACGGAACATCCAGGTCTCCACACTTTGACAACAGGTCTGGGAGCACAGGTGCTGTGCAGGAGGAGTCTACCAAAGTCACAACAGGATATTGGCACTGGTACTCCTCATGTTAAATAGTTCTCTGTTCATTTTCATGGAATCATCATGCTGGACAGGACTTAGGTGGCACCTGTCCTGCACCCTACGGCCCTCATGAGGAACCCGAGGCCCAGGTGAAGCCCAGATGGAGGGCACACAGGTGGTGCTGTTTGTCAGAGTGCCATGCACTCCTTCTGTTGGGGACATTGCGCTCAGCACAAGGCTGCACTCCCTTCACTCAGCCATCTGCACGAAAGGGCTCTTGTACCCACTGTACAGATGGGTAAACTGAGGTACAGCTGCATCAAGGACACACAGATATTGTGGGGTGGTGATCAAGCTCACTTTTGTCTGGATCAAAAGCCTGAACCCATTTTTGTTTTGTTTTGTTTTGTTTTTGTGGAACCAGGGATTGAACTCAGGACCTTGCACTTGCCAGGCAGACAGGGTGCCACTGAGATACATTCCCGGCCCCCATTTTTTGAGGCAGGGTTTCACTAAGTAATCCAGGTTGGCCTCGAGCTTACTATGTAGCCCAGGCTGGCTCCATAGCGATCCTCCTGCCTCAGCCACCTGAGTACTGGGATTTTAGGCATGCGCCACCATCCCCAGCCTTTAAAGCCAGTGCCCCTCCTGGCCCCATCGCCCATCTGTCACACTGCCTGAGGCTGATTTGCATTGTCAGCCAGACACTGGTCAGCACCTCGGTCTCACCTTCTGGGCGGGTGCTGAGGCCGGTGTCCGTGATGGTACACCCCCCACCCCTCCACACCGGGTGCTGCCAGGGTCCTCTGCTCCGTCCCTTGTGTCAGGGACCCAGGGGAACTTCTCTAGTCTCGGTTCCGGGCGGGCTAGGCACTGCTGGGCTGGTGCGGGGGCATCCAAGGGCGGGTTTCCCTTGGTGCTGCTCGCGGAGCTCTTAGACCACAGCAGGGCCTGGGCCCTGACTCAGCCTCAGGCTCCAGCCCTCGGTCTCCCCCCTGTTTACTGTTTATTTTTCCCTGACCTAATTTAGACCATCTTTCAAGGAACTTTCGATTGTTTTCAAAACAGTGAGATATAAATCACAGAATCCAGTGGCAAATGAATTCCACATGGCATTTCTGACCATTTTCCGACTATGCAGGCCTGAGGAGGAAGCAGGAAACGCGGCACAGGGTGACCGAGGACCCGATCCCCATCCATCCACGAGAGCCGGATGCTGGCTGTGTCCGTCCTGCCCATCGGAGGGCTCGGGGCAGAGCTGCTGCTTGGGTGCAAACCCCTCACTTTCCTTGGATGACACTGGCAGCGCGTGAGTCACCTTCACACAGCACCTCTGCTCGGGCGGCAGCAGGGGAGGCGCCACGCTCACTGGTGACACAGAGTGATTGTCCAGATTGGTACAGAGATTCAAGGGCAGGACACGGCGGCCTGGCCATCTTTCCAGTCACTTTGAGAGAGGCCTGCTGGTGATTCTGAGGCACGGGAAGAGTGGGCCTGCATTCCACATCCGCTGTCCCATCTTCCACTCAGGACAAACCCTGACTGGGCTTTGGAGACACCCGAGTGGAAAGTGGACACAGTCCTTTCCTCCCACATGCGGTTGGCACAGATACAAGTCGTGTGGCTATCCTGAAGGGAAAAATCCCACAAACACAAAAGAGGAAAAGAACCTGTTTTTTGAGGGGTTTTTTGTTTTTGTTTTTTTTTTGGTACCAGGGATCAAACTTGGGTCCTTGCACTTATGAGGCAGGCAGCAGAACCACTGAGCTAAATCCTTAGCCCAAAGAACTGGTTTTTAAAAAGCAGAAGCCTACCTGTTTCATTCTAGAACATTCCTTGCACTCCACACCAAATGTTTTCTTCCTTGCTTCATTCCTGAAGGAGATTTCTCTCAGCTGAGAAGAGCTGTTCACTTGACCCCAGTGGCCAGTTACTCAGTATTACGTGTTTCTCCTTCTTTCATTGCAGAATTCCTCAGGTGAGCAATTTATGCCAACTACCTTCATTTTTATCCTACCACAGCTTCCACAGCCCTTGCAAATGGCGTTTCTCTTTACTGAGGTCTCTCTATCCTCTCTCTGATTTGTTGCTGAAGAAAATTTGCTTTTTCTTATCCCATTTTTTATTTTTCAGGTGATACTCTGCTCCTAGGCTCCATGATGACTTCAGGACCCCTGGAACCCTGAGCCACCTTCTTCTCCACAGTCCTTGCCTGCCCTGTCCTTGTGTCTCCGAGGCTGTGTTGGTGCTCTTCTCAGCAAGCTCAATGTTTTCACGTCAGGACTTCTTACTCCCTCGTTTACACCTCCCTGCTTTCCTCTTACCTAAGGGCTGGTCCAGCCGGTGGTTCTTCTGCAGACGTCCCCAGACAAACCAGCCCTGTCTCTTTCCACCACTCACGCTTTTGTTTTCTCCCCCACCCTGTGTTTAGATGCCCAGCCCCGTCCGCTTGTCAGCTTTTCCAACATAGTCTTGCTCATAGAACCTCTCTCTCTCCCCGTCCCTCTCTCTTCCCTACATTTGTGCACATCCCAGACCTCCATCCCCAACCTTCCGCATTGTGCAAGGCACTGTCCTTATCTAATTTGCACCTCAACCCTCCTCTGAAGCAGTGGTAGAAGTTATGTTGTATTGGAAAAGGTCAAATTATGCAGGATGTTGAAAGCCAGGTGAAGGCCCAGGTAGAATTAGTTTTCAAACAAAGGCAGTTATGTGAAAATCAAGAGAGAAGACACAGAAGGAGCCCATTGGCGGTGCTCAAATGATAATGATTATTTATTATTTTGAACTTTGCTTGTATCTTTATATCAACTAGATTCAAAGCTGCTTGAGGGAATGGGCCATGGCTGATTTTTTTTCCAATTCCTCCTCATCCTTTCCTCCTTTGAAAAGATCTGTTTTATATGTGGTGGCTAGGAGTATGTCCTGGGCCCTGTCAGCCTCTGTCAGCCATGAGGATGGAGGACCACACGGAGGACTCAATGGAGGATCGGAGGACCAGGTGGAGGACAGGGTAGAGACTGGATGGAAGATTGGATGGAGAACTGTCTCCTGCTTATCTGGGCCCCAGTCTCCCCTCGCTGGGATGCTGCTGTAAGACTGTCACTACCCACTAGATGACTCCCAGACTGAATGAAATAATATATATAACCCAGCTCGGTGCCCACTTGAGGCAGTTTGCATAGATAATTACAAACACTGCCTTTATCACAGTCACATCCACTTTGGTGATGGTTCTTGTTGATGAGACGTTCCCAGTGTCAGAGATCTCTTCCTACCTCACACAGCTGTATACATCTGCCGCATTCTCTAGCTGCCAGGAAGCTCAGACCTGCATTTCAGTGTAATCACAGCAGCTGTGTAGACCTATTCTGAACTACATTTGATTTCTCTTTACGTGGTTCTATCTCCTACTTCCTGCGTGTTCCTCTGCTTGGTGATTATTGTGAGTGGTCCCACATCTGTTCTCTTTAAATCACTGCTTCTTACCCTCTTCTGAGTCACAGCCGCTTGGATGGAGTCCTTGCCTTAGAAATCTACATACATATCCCCCCCACACACTTGTGTCTAATTTTAGGAGTGTCCAGGACCCCCGGAGCCAGGTTGGGCCACAGAAACTGGTGAGAGAGAGATGGGTAAGGCTGGGCCTGACGTGACTGGATGAAATAGCCACGAGGTCCCTTGTGTGGCTTCCTCGGGGGCCAGAGTTGTTGTCTCCTGCCTGTAGACACTGGCTGGGCTCCTGCACAGGTGGTCTCCTCGCTCCACACAAGCCCAGGCTCGGAGCTGACCCCAGCAGAAAGCCTCTGCTCCTTCAGCCGCCATGTCGCCTGCAGAGCTGTGCACACGTCCCCAGAGCCTTCTCGGGTCTGCAGCGTTCGCTCCTCTGGACAGCCACAGCTGTGTCCAGCCTCCCTCCGCGAGGATGGCACCCAGGTCCCCTCTGTAACAGTGGCGCCTGCTTCACCTCCCAAGGGTGCTGCTCTAACCCTCTTACCCCGTAACCTCCCTGTCGGCAGTCACTCAGGTCTGACGTTTGTCTGCTTTGGGCTGTGATTCCCATCCAGGATTATCAAGGTCCCTACTTTTTGTAATCCTCTTCCTGACCCTGCCCTCACTGCCTCTGTCTTCATGTCCCACACTGGAGGTGCCGTCGTCGTCTCTTGGCAGCCCATGTCCTCTGTCCCTATCACAAGAGATGATGCCCCGTGTGCCGAGCGCCCCCTTATCTCAGCCCCTTGGGGTGCCTCCTCTGACATAATGGGAACAGCAGCTCAGCACCGGGACCCCTCTGTCCTCCACCTCGGCCGCCGCCCTTTGCCCTCGCGCTGTTTCCAGCTCCCCTCAGGGTTCCTGCCGCAGGAATCTGCACTCATAACCACAGCGCGTTTGTCCTCTGCTCCGCACAGGGCCGCAGTGGAGGGCAGGACGGCCTGCGCTGACCTGCGGTCACTCCACGCCCGGCTGCAAGTTCTCTCTCGCTGCCCTGAGCCCTCCCCGATGACTTCTGCCTGCAGCAGCCTTGGCCTAGGGCTTGTTTGCTTCTCCACTTGCAGCTGGCAGCGACTCCCGCCCAACATCTGGACCTGCATCTGTGCCAGGAGGGCATCACCCACCCACGCCTGGTGCTTTGTGCAGAGCAGCAGCTCAGTAAACACCTTGGCTGCACAGCTGCAGCTTGGCTTGGACATGGATCTCTTCACCGCAAGTGTGGGCGAGGGGAGCGCGATCCTGTCCACTGGTCAATTTCTCGCGCTCGAAATCAAGCCGCTCACCCCCATTGCAATACGAGGGAGCCTTGACAACGTTATGCTGTGTGAGACACTCCAGTCCCTGCAGGAGGAACCAGTCACGTGCGATTCCATTCATGGGACGGACCTAGAACAGCCACGTTCAGACAGGAAGTGGCTGGTGGTGCCCCGTGAACCTGCACCCGCAGTGGGGCTGCTCCCCACATGGCCCTTGCAGGCGGAGGCTGGCGGAAGTCAGGCACCCGTTCCATACACCTGACTCCCTTACCCAGGCTGGGGGCGCGGTGCCCCTGGAGCGGGCGGAGCCCTCCAGCGCAAGGCCGACTCCCCATGCAGTCGGTGTGGTTGCTCTGCGTCACTGAAACGTCCCGTATCCCAGCGGTCACAGTGGTGGTGACTTTCTGTTCTTTCTCCCAGGCTCGGTGCGGGGTGGGATCTGATGTGTGTGACCCTGGGGTCACCCGAGGTGGCTTCCTTTGCATGAAGAAGGCAGGCGAGTTCGGGAGTCTGCAGGCACTTCACATGCTCCTCACGTTCCTCCTTGGCGCGGTGCGGCAGGAGGTGCCCAACCCCAAAGCCGACAGGACGAGGCGTTTTCTGAGCTGGATGAAGAAATCTGCAAAATTAGGAAATAACGTTTGTGCCATTTCCAGAGGCCCGGACAGGCGCGGTTCACCTCCAAGTGATTTACCTGTGGCGCTGATGATTATTTACTTGGCTATTCAGTTCAAGACAATCACAGGAAGGTACGGCCCATAAATTAGAATAGCTATGAAACACAGGCTGCCTTTATGTCGAAACATAACTTTTGCAGTTTTTTTTAACAGAGAAAATGCATTTACTGTACAGGCTCGGAGTGGCCACTGCTGTTACTGCCTCCTTCTTGATATCAGCGTTTGGCGCAATCGCTTGCTGGTCCCGAGCTTTGCCCTTGGCAGGCTCTGGGCCCAGGAGACAGCTAGCTCCTCGTGTACACGCTGAGCCCACCCCCCTCCTAAGATTTGGGGGCTCTTTGCTGCAGGCGGCATGGAGTGGGGCCCCATGTGAACCGAGGGGGAGAATGGGCCCTCAAGGGGGTTCTGGCCAAGCAAGCACACCAGCGCTGACCCGGGCAGGCAGCCGCCTCCTCACACACGAGCGGCAAGGGCTGACCCTGCCACGGGGAAGAGAGGAGCAAGCGCTGCCCCCGGCCTGGCCCTCGGTGAGCACTCAGGAAGCCCCAGGGCGACACTGGTCATCTGCACCCTGGGGGACGAAGAAGCCTGCGCCTGGGCATGGACAGCAGATGGGATGAGGGGGCTCAGAGCGGGCACCACATCTGGGAAGGAGGGAGAAGAGCTGCCAGGAGCACAGCCGGAAGCCAACCCACGTGTCTGGGCTGGCACCAACTTGTGCCCGAGGAGCCCTGGAAAGTGAGAAGTGTGCGCTGATGGTTGGGGCAAGCACCCGTTCTCGGTGGGGAGACATTCAGAGCAGGGCGCTGCAGCCACTTGCCTGGCTTGCCTCCAGTCTTCCTCCAGCAGCTGTGCAACCTTGGCAAGGAACTCGCCCTCCCTGGGCTCGAGTCCCTTCCCTAGAACATGCCGGCGGTGATACCAGCACCCGCCTCACTCCCGGGGTT